ATGATATAATGACCACATACACTGTACTACAATGCATGATATAATAACCACATACACTGTACTACAATGTATGATATAATGACCACACACACTGTACTACAATGTATGATATAATGACCACAAACACTGTACTACAATGAATGATATAATGACCACATACACTGTCCTACAATGTATGATATAATAACCACATACACTGTACTACAATGTATGATATAATTACCACATACACTGTACTACAATGTATGATATAATTACCACATTCACTGTACTACAATGTATGATACAATGACCACTTACACTGTACTACCATGTATGATATAATGACCACATACACTGTACTACAATGTATGATATAATGACCACATACACTGTACTACAATGTATGATACTATGACAACATACAATGTACTACCATGTATGATATAATGACAACATACACTGTACTACAATGTATTATAAAAGTATCTCGAACACTGTATTAATGGTATGAAATACATCATTATTTCACTAAAAACTGTCCCGATTTGGGTACTGTGACGTTAGACATTGATGACGAATGTGTTATATAACTTTCAAATTATATATATATCATTTCTGATCTCATTTCCCTTACTTACATCATGGAATTAGATCAGATTGCTATCTAAGTCCGTGCTCATTTTCCTATCTGGTCTGCTGTTTTTTAACATTTAGTGTCAGCTGTGTCATATAGAATGAAATTGTTATGTTGTTGTACCTTTTTACCAAATAAACTTGAAATTTGAAATCCGAACCCGCTCTATTAATATTAAAAATAAAAAATAAATGAAATAAATAATATAACGACTATATCATGTCTATGATTATCGATTGATGACGTTGTGAACAGAAATACCTGTCGGTCTGTTCATGTGTAAAGCACAAGGTCCCTAAGGACGTGGATTGTACATGTATTCAGAATTAGAACGTGTGAAAACCGATCTCATTCACAGCATATAAGACAATGGGATCTATGAATATTTTAGTCAAGGAATGACTAATGTTCGTATATATATTCCGTATTTTCCATTATGCCGGTGTGAACAAAACGTGTCACGTGACCTGTTCCTTTCGTGAAGGCAATACACAGTGTTTCTCCTTTAACAGTATATAAAGAGTACTAAGACAACAATGATTGGATGAGATTTTAATGTGCTTGTGTACGGGATGAATTCCAATAGTTTTAGACACATGTTTTAATTAAATATTTTATATGGTGAATTTATTTACCTGTATATGTGTGTGGATCCTGTTTTTGAATGGGTACAACAGTGGACGGTCGACGATTTCAATATAATCGTTCGGTTTCTATTATCAGTGAGCATGACTCGGATTTCGAAGATTTACCCGATGATTTCCAGACTGACACAATCACGGATGGGACGGACGGACCCCACGCGACAAGCCAAACCCTTGACGGCACGGGACAAGGTAAACATTTACTATGTACACCCATTTCGGGCCAAATGTTGAACATGTTTACAAACTTTTAAAGGTTAAAGGGGAACTACTCTGTCTAGTAAAATGTGTCGGTTGAAATATATACAATAAGTAGCTATATATAGTTGTACATTGCGTAAATAGTTAATACACAGGTACATTTCTGTACAAAGTCTTCTGTAAGGGATGATAATTTTATTATAAGAGATCATATCTTATGACGATACAAACGATGTAGTGTGCTGTAGATATATTTCATTGTTACTTTTTAGACAATATATGTAAGAATTAATAAAATTACAAAATAAATGATAAGAAAAAATCAGAAAAAAAAAAATCAGAAAAATACCCCACCAAAATATATTTAAACCAGATATATAATTTTACAAAGTTAAGCCATGGCTAGATTGTGTAGGTCATATGACCCTTCCTGGATCTAACTGTCAGTATTGCTTCTAAACCAAGAATAACATAAACGTTTATGTTCACTGCGACCAATGAATTCCATACAAAGTTAGGTTCACATATGTTCCACAGGAGCCTGAAATTCTGTTAAAAATAGAAAGGGTGAAAAAAACCCAAAAACTTACGATATATGCTTTATAAATAGACCTGTCGTTATGATATAAAGTATCACATACACTGTACTACAATGTATATAATGACTACATACACTGTACTACAATGTATAATTAAAGTATCACTTACCCTGTATTAAAATGTATATTAAAAGTATCACATATTTACACAGTACTACAATGTATAATAAAAGTATCACTTACACTGTACTACAATGTGTAATAAAAGTATCACTTACATAGTACTATAATGTATAATAAATGTATCACCTACACTGTTCTACAATGTATAATGAAAGTATCACTTACAGAGGACTATAATGTATAATAAAAGTATCAACTACACAGTACTTCAATGTATAATGAAAGTATCACTTACAGAGGACTATAATGTATAATAAAAGTACCACCTACACAGTACTATAATGTATGATCAAAGTATCACCTACACAGTACTTCAATGTATAATGAAAGTATCACGTACATAGTACTATAATGTATAATAACATTATCACCTACACAGTACTATAATGTATGATCAAAGTATCACCTACACAGTACTTTAATGTATAATAAAAGTATCACCAACACAGTACTATAATGTATAATGAAAGTACCACCTACACAGTACTATAATGTATACAATGACCACTTACACTGTACTACCATGTATGATATAATGACAACATACACTGTACTACAATGTATGATATAATGACAACATACACTGTACTACAATGTATGATACTATGACAACATACAATGTACTACCATGTATGATATAATGACAACATACACTGTACTACAATGTATGATATAATGACCACATACACAGTACTACAATGTATAATGAAAGTATCACATAGATAGTACTATAATGTATAATAACATTATCACCTACACAGTACTATAATGTATGATCAAAGTATCACCTACACAGTACTACAATGTATAATGAAAGAATCACCTACACTGTACAAAAATGAAAGTATCACCTACACAGTACTACAATGCATAATAAAAGTATCATCTACACAGTACTACAATGTGTAATAAAAATATCACTTACACAGTACTACAATGTATAATGAAAGTATCCCCTACACTGTACAAAAATGTATAATAAAAGTATTACCTACACAGTACTACAATGAATAATAAAAATATCACTTACACAGTACTACAATGTATAATGAAAGTATCACGTACATAGTACTATAATGTATAATAAAAGTATTACCTACACAGTACTACAATGTGTAATAAAAATATCACTTACACAGTACTACAATGTATATTAAAAGTAGCACCTACACAGTACTATAATGTATACAATGACCACTTCCACTGTACTACCATGTATGATATAATGACAACATACCCTGTACTACAATGTATGATATAATTACCACATCCACTGTACTACAATGTATGATACTATGACAACATACAATGTACTACCATGTATGATATAATGACAACATACACTGTACTACAATGTATGATACTATGACAACATACAATGTACTACCATGTATGATATAATGACAACATACACTGTACTACAATGTATGATACAATGACAACATACAATGTACTACCATGTATGATATAATGACAACATACACTGTACTACAATGTATGATACTATGACAACATACAATGTACTACCATGTATGATATAATGACAACATACACTGTACTACAATGTATGATATAATAACCACATACACTGTACTACAATTTATGATATAATGACCACAAACACTGTACTACAATGAATGATATAATGACAACATACACTGTACTACAATGTATGATATAATGACCACAAACACTGTACTACAATGTATGATATAATGACCACAAACACTGTACTACAACGTATGATATAATGACCACATACACAGTACTACAATGTATATTAAAAGTAGCACCTACACAGTACTACAATGCATAATAAAAGTATCATCTACACAGGACTACAATGTATAATAAAAGTATCATCTCATAGTACTACAATGTGTAATAAAAGTATCATCTACACAGTACTATAATGTATGATCAAAGTATCACCTACACAGTACTTCAATGTATAATGAAAGTATCACATAGATAGTACTATAATGTATAATAACATTATCACCTACACAGTACTATAACGTATAATAAAAGTATCACCTATACAGTACTATAATGTATAATGAAAGTACCACCTACACAGTACTATAATGTTTAATGAAAGTATCACCTACACAGTACTTTAATGTATAACTACAATGTGTAATAAAAGTATCATCTACACAGTACTACAATGTATAATGAAAGTATCCCCTACACTGTACAAAAATGTATAATAAAAGTATCACCAACACAGTACTATAATGTATAATGACAGTATCACCTACATAGTACTACAATGTATAATAAATGTATCATCTACACAGTACTATAATGTATAATGAAAGTACCACCTACACAGTACTATAATGTATGATCAAAGTATCACCTACACAGTACTTTAATGTATAACTACAATGTGTAATAAAAGTATCATCTACACAGGACTACAATGTATAATAAAAGTATCACTTACACTGTACTATAATGTATAATAAAAGTATTACCTACACAGTACTACAATGAATAATAAAAATATCACTTACACAGTACTACAATGTATAATAAATGTATCATCTACACAGTACTATAATGTATGATCAAAGTATCACCTACACAGTACTACAATGCATAATAAAAGTATCATCTACACAGGACTACAATGTATAATAAAAGTATCACCGACGCAGTACTACAATGTATAATAGACGAATCAACTACACAGTACTATAATGTATAATAAAGTATCACCTACACAGTACTATAACGTATAATAAAAGTATCACCTACTCAGTACTATAATGTATAATGAAAGTATCATCTACACAGTACTATAATGTATAATGACAGTATCACCTACATAGTACTACAATGTATAATAAAAGTATCACCTACACAGTACTACAATGTATAATAAAAATATCACTTACACAGTACTACAATGTATAATGAAAGTATCACCTACACTGTACAAAAATGTATAATAAAAGTATCACCTACACAGTACTATAATGTATAATAAAAGTATCACCTACACAGTACTATAATGTATAATAAAAGTATCACCTACACAGTACTATAATGTATAATGAAAGTATCACCTACATAGTACTACAATGTATAATTAAGATATATCACATAGATTATAATACAAATGTCATGTATAAAATAAGTATCACATATATTTTATTAATTACAGTTAATTCTTTCGTGTACATGTATACATACATTTAACCTAAATTTATAAAGCAAGTCGTATAAAAAATGATGTTGCTATAACATTGATTCAGGGATAAAATCTTTTCTTTTCCTTTCCCCAGGTAAGCAAAGCTTGTCCTTTTCACCGTTTTTATTTGCTTTTTCACCCCAGTCCCAGTGGAATGAATGTTATCTCGATTCTGTTTCAGTCATCAGTTTGAATGTCTGGAGTTGACTTGTGTAAATATATATATATATACATACATGCTACATATGATGGCAACTTGCACTTTTTTTTCTTAAGGATCCCTGTCCCATTGCACTGTGGTTTTTCGTTCAACTGCCCGTTGTCCATCTGTCGTCAGTCCGACATCTGTCATCTTTTCATTTAGCAACTTCTTCTAAAGAATTAAAAGGCCTAGAACCGTGATATTTGGCTGGAAGCTTCCTTGGAAAGGGAACAAAGTTTGCAAATGAAAATGACCTTGACTTATATATTCAAGGTCACAGGGGTCAAATATGTCAAAAATCTTCAAATTACTTCTTCTGAAGAATGGAAAAACCAAGAGAGGAAGGGCTATAAAGTTTGTTAAAGTTATCATGAATGATTTTGAGCCTCTTTCAAGGTCACTGAGGTCAAATGTGACCTGAATAACCAAATGTCAAAGGTAAAAGATATTTGACATGTAGCTTTATTAAGTCCATTTAAATGTCTCTGACATTTGTCCATTTTGAAGGTTAAGGTAAGATAGATTCATATATAGCAGGCACGACGCAGGCCCATTGGGCCTCTTGTTACTACATAAAATAATCTCTCCTTAAAGCTGACAATGCAAGTTAAATAGCTTTCAATTAAGTTAAAACAACCTTTTACTGGTATTGAGAACTTCCCCAGTGACTAAATCTTCTGGCTATTGTTTCTAAGGAAGCGCAAACATTTTCGTTTGTCCTTGCTTGGTAACTTAGCCTTTCACGTGCATAGAACCGCTTACACACAAAGAACTCTTAGTCTTCGTCGTGTAGAGGCTTTACTAGCAAAAACATGCACTCCCAGACCTGGGTGAAGTCAGCAATGTGAAATTTGATAATTGAACC